CTCCTAAGAAGTGCACTGCAGCCTCTTTGCTACAACTAAGAAACGCTCTTAAGGGGATCCTAAGTCTGTGTGCCCATCACCAGAAGCTGGAAAGGGCAGCAAAGCAACCCTCGTCAGCAAGCAAGTACCCCCCTCCTCCCCTCGCTATACCAAGACTGCGACTGGGATGTAGTTCCTAATAATACTTAACTTTTTAGCATTATAAAACTTAATATCATCTTCACCTAAGACTACACACTGTTAGTTGCAACATGGAACTTCCATAACAAATAGTCAATAAGGTGACACCAAGCCTATTTAGACTATTTAGCACCTAGCAAGTATCTGGGTCATCAATATGACAAAGGATAATAAAAAAAAATTATTTTATAAATAATCATATTTGGAGGGTTATCCAATTCTGTACACTAAGAAAGTAATAAGATTTCTTTAATATTTACAGTAATTAGGCAGTTTAGTTGTATTCAGACAGTACTCAGGCAAACAGAGCTGCAATCACCTCATTCTTGGAAAACATTACATGTCTATCACTTACAATTTTTATTTGTAAAAAGTTGATGTATACATTTAAGTGGAAAATGACAAAGCTTTACTAAATTTATGAACATTTGTATCTCAATATTAGTAGAGAATTTTTTGTTTTGTTTTAATCCCATTCCTTGGCTATGCAGTAATTTAATTATCGCTGACAAAAATGTTATGTTACAGCTGACTTTGCCATTTTACAACGTCTCTTGGAATTCTACAATTATGTTGCTGCTTGAAAGGAACAAACATTAAAATCTAAAAAGGTATGATATAAAATGCCAAATACTGTGCAGCTATTATCAGGAAAACTCATGCATTGCTATAATTGGGAATAGCTTATATATCCTAAATAAGACATCTTACTAATTAAAACAAATGCAAAATAAAATAACTTATCCCAACAAGCAAAATTCCTGAGAAACTAAATATAGCTAACATTAAGTAATATTACAAGATGTTACCACGATATAATTTAACAGACCATTTGTCCCAGCGCTAGTTCAAGTAAGGCCATGACCATTTTATATATATATAATATATATATATATATATATATATATATATATATATATATATATATATATATATATGTCGTACCTAATAGCCAGAACGCACTTCTCAGCCTACTATTCAAGGCCCGATTTGCCTAATAAGCCAAGTTTTCATGAATTAATGTTTTTTCGTCTACCTAACCTACCTAACCTAACCTAACCTAGCTTTTTTTGGCTACCTAACCTAACCTTACATATAAATATAGGTTAGGTTAGGTTAGGTAGGGTTGGTTAGGTTCGGTCATATATCTACGTTAATTTTAACTCAAATAAAAAAAATTGACCTCATACATAGAGAAAAGGGTTGCTTTATCACTTCATAAGAAAAAAATTATAGTAAATATATTAATTCAGGAAAACTTGGCTTATTAGGCAAATCGGGCCTTGAATAGTAGGCTGAGAAGTGAGTTCTGGCTACTAGGTACGACATATATATATATATATATATATATATATATATATATATATATATATATATATATATATATATATATATATATATATATATATATATATTATATATTATTTATATATATACTGTGTGTATATATACACATTATACAGTACAGTGGAACCTTGAGTGACGGGTGACTCCTGTTACGAATATTTCGAGTAACAAGCAAACCACTCACAGAAAATATGTCTCGAGTGATGAGCTTTCCTCTATTAACGAGTGTTCCCGTTGGTTCTCGGACACCTCCGACGCCAGTTTTGTTGTTTCACATGACGAGCTCAGTGCCGGAACGGAATAAACTCATTAAACAAGACGCCACTGTATATATATTATATATATATATATATATATATATATATATATATATATATATATATATATATATATATATATATATATATATATATATTTATATTTAATATATAACTGTATATATATTTAATATATATATATATATATATATATATATATATATATATATATATATATATATATATATATATATATATATATATATATATATATATATATATATATATACATACACACATTTATATATTTGTGCTAAACCAAAAAGTGCACACAGTATCTAAATAAGGTAATACAGTATTCATACATTTTAACAAATAACATTTAACTTTCACAAACACTTCAGTAAAGAGTGCAAATTAGGAATCAAGAACAAGTCGGGAATTTTACAGCACAACCTGCAGATTCGTAACATTTGGCCTTTTTACATGGCTCTTTCCAGCAAACATTGCCAATAAATGATGTCTACAAACATTTTCCAGCCTGATAACTATTAAAGTAACATGGCACAAATGGACAGAATCTAAGTCAACTAATTATCACATCTGGAATCAACAGACAGACCTTCCCCTATCTGGTCGACCCATGAGGGTAATTTCATCACTGTACGCAATTACTTGCTATTTTCTTAAGGAAATAATACAAATGCCTACATCACAACTGTTCTACCTCTGTAGTAATGGTGTTCAAAATATGAATCGAGGTGTTTCTCTCCTGAATATATGAGAGAGTATGTGAACTATGAGAAAGGAAAGATGGGAATGAGGGGAGGACTATAAAGACAAGAATGAAGGAAGGGTAGCGGAAAGACGGGAATGGAGGGTTAACAAAAACAGGAATGAGGGATTAGTGAAAGAAATGAAGGGAAGGTAAAGGAAAGAAAGAAATGAAGGAACGGTAAAGGAAAGAAAGAAATGAAGGGAAGGTAAAGGAAAGACAGGAATGAATAGAGGGTTAATGAAAAGAAAGGAATAAAGTGAATACTTAAGGATACTATATTCACACAAAAAAAAAAAGAGGATAAAACTAATTTTTAAGAAAAATTACAAATATAAAGAGCCTTAATTTGTAACTACTTTATTATGCAAGTTAACAATAAGTATGAACTGAAGCGAGTTTGAATAAAAATACAATTCTCAGGTGAAATACCACTAATGCACAAAATGAACCCCTTGACACTGACTGAGCAATGTGGAGTTATACAGAAGCACTCCAACCACAAGGAGACCAACTTAAGCAGCGTGTAGAGGGTTAATTCTAAACTTGTACGGCATCCAAGTTTTGCTGTAAAAACGCCAATCCTGATGTGTGCGTATTTCTCAATATAAATGCACCTGACTACATAAATACTAGCAATGTATAATGATTACATCACAGACATAATGTCTGCCAAGACTTGAACATTTGACATGGGTCTTTGACGCAGTGATACGGAGGCACCTCCTTCATTCTTCAAAGAATGGACACAAACTAAGGAAGAAATCTGCCATGATTTACACTCATGATAAAATTGAAATACTGCACATCACATCTAAAATGTATAAACAAATAGCTATTGCAATGTGACAAATAAAATTCAATATATTTTTGTGGGAATAAATATATTGAAAGCTTACAAATGGACTGATAATCTATCAATGAAGACTTTGGTCCAAACTGGAGTTTTTCACATACAATTTAATTTACTTATAGTAGTACTATGCTATTTAACCAATAATCTAAACTTTGAAATATATTACAGTACATTCAATTTTAATTAAAAGGTATTCAAATAATTTACAATCCAAATACCTGCAGGTTTAAGTAATTATCCAAAGAAGGCGCCAGGCCGGGAAGACTATGTAGCACTGCCTGTGTCGCGACATATTCAAAAGGCGCTAAATATCACTTGGATGCCAATACAAGCACAAAAGGACATAAGGCAAGCGACACCAAAGGTATTGTATTCACCAAAAATTCTATCAAGGAACCAGCAATCCAGAGGAACATTGGGAAAGCAAGATGTACGAGCATCCTGGAAAACAGAATATTATACAAAGTGATGCATGACTAAGTGGGACAATACAGTTTGGACAATAAGCAGCAGGGTGTTGTTCCATTAAGTACCCAAGATATAAGTGTGTATTGCTGATACGCAACCAAGTCAGTCATTTCCCATCTATTATGGTATTAGGAGGATGGCCAAGGGAAGAGGTCACTTATAAGAGTGCTCAGTAAGAGTGCACCTGTACAGCCAGACAAAAGACCTTGCCAATAGTTCAAATTGTGGAATAAATGACTGGATAGAGATCTGTATAAGTAATCCCTTTTTGGGAAATTGGAGAAGTACAATGGCCTCCTTAGTAACAGTATCCACAAGTTCATTTAAGGTAACACCAATATGACTTGAGTACCCAGCAAAATTTGACTCTCCTAAATCTACTAGATATAAAAAACAACCAGTATTGGATTTACCTGAATGTGTAATTAATACTGTATAAACATGTTTAATGATTTTGATAACCAAATGAAAAGTATTAGCAAAATTGTCCTGTTCATTTAGCTTGAGATTAAACACAGCCTGATTCACATTAAAAGATCACAACAACACTGGCAGTAACAACCACTATTGCTACCAAGGAAATAAAAACAAATTCAATGTGAAAGACTGGATAAAAAAAAAAAATCCTCAATGTTCAAATTTGTACCAAGAAAACCTAGCAAATTTTGCTCCATCACTCTGTCTTGCAAAGTGACCATTATTAATAAATCTAAGGAAATGTGGGCATCCAGGACACATTGTAAACTAGATCAAATATTTTTAGTCTGACCAATGCACACCAGTGTACATCCAAAATAAGCCCCACAAATTAATTTGTCCAGTTGACTTGAGCCACCATAGACCTAGCTAATGAAATGATATTACTTTTCTATCTTTCCAATTTCCCCTGTGAAAAATGCACATAAAATTCACATGCACAAAGCTAAATAGTTTTAGAAAAGCTAACACTGAAAGTCAGTCATTTTCATACTGAAAATATTTAGCAATTGAAACAATTGTACTGTATAAAAGATACAGTACAGCCCTTAGAGCCAATTTAAATCAATGAAATCATAGCAGGTGTATTATCCTTATACTTTCAATTTGTGCCAAATACTAAATGGCCAAAAAAAAAAAAAAAAAAATTAAAAAAATATTAATCTATAATTTGGCACGTAACTGAAGCACTATATAGGAATGACGTAAATTACAAGGGTTCCACATAAAAATACGAGTGAGTGTGGCAGGCATCCTTGTATTGAAATCTATCAGTTTTATTACAAAAATATCCTAATCTATTTAAATCAACCGATTGTCATTGTGCCTGCTCTCAAATTTTGCCCCGAGTTGGAAATATTGCATTCTATGTATTGATTGTCTATTTAGAAAACTGGCAACTAACCAAAAGTTAAAACTAGAGTGAATTTTTAAAATGGTTTGGTAAAATGTTGAATATTAAAGTCATTGTTCATCTATACATTTTATAATAAGCTAATGAACTTCTTTTAGTTACCTGTAACAGGTTTTTCACAGTCAAATTAGTACACAGTTAATCATAGAATTTCTTTTGGGATTGATAGTAAACAATGCAAATGCTCAGAATTTTCAAGGAAACTGCACATTACTGCATTAAAAAACCACCAAACATATATGTTTTATTTTGTTTTATGATAAACTGCTCTATATTGATCTACTGTACTATTAATGTTATATGAGGAAGTCTGGATTCATTCCAAACATTAAGCAGCATTAATTGCCTGTCTTCAAGCAGAGTATCAATACTAGCAACCAAAACAACTAAGTGAATGCAGCTCAACAAACTTGGAAATGTCAAGTTTATTCTTCAAATTGTTTAAGTTCCGACTGTAAACAGAACATAAAGACATTATATATCTTTGTCCTTTGTTACTGTACTTTCAAGTACAGTAACTGATCTCTCTAGGGGGGAATATGATTGTGTATGGATGTAGTAGAATCATGGCCTTCATATCCTGATCAGTAACTCTTCTTCCTCTGAATGTTAAGTAAACAAATAAGATGTTTAGAACGCTTGTCATTTGTTTAAACCTCAAAGTGCAGCTATCATCAAAATTGCCCCTCTGCCTGTGACAGAAAACATTTAATTACTGTATTTTACTTATTATTTTTTGTATTGAATTGTAGATCTGTATTCAAAAGCATGGAAAACACATGCTTAAACTTGTACAAAGAAAACACACAAAAATCAAATAAGTTTTTTTTTCAGATATGCAGCAGTCAAAATTCCTTCTGGCTTTATCAGTTTATGTTGTAATGGTAGCCACGACTAAACAAATAATTTTGTCTTCAAAAGTAAGGAATCTGCAAATGGGTATCCAAAATCACGGTTTTTGAATTTGAATCTGTTATACAAACCCACCCCTTTGTCTCCTGTAATACAAAGCGTTACACTTACGTACCCATAGCTAAATGGCTGTGTAGTGCACTACTGGAACTTCAGCATGGCCCATGGTGACACATAGCTGACCCACACTGCCCAATCAGCAGTTTTCTTGCGTCCAATGATGTCTCACTGAGCACTTTGTAAACTATTTCAAATGTTTATCAATGAAAATACTATTAATCATAGCTGATGAGAGGAAGTATGTTAGTAATGCACCAGTACCATGAAACAGGCAATCCATTTCCCTAGAAAGGAAACTATAGATAATCAACTGTTCTGGGAGCTTGACAGCACATTGCACATGTTGAGGCTAGGAGAGGGGAGGGTGAATGGAAGAAAATATTTACAGTATAGTGAAAGCTCTTTACAGTCAGGTTCTGCTGATAGATATCCACATGTGACAAGTTGAATGTTGGATTTTGCTCGGTAAACTTCACTCGTAAAGTTTGGGAAGAACGGTACGAATGGAATAATCTTTAATTTTGCTCAGGATAAATTTGGAGGTGCCTTTGTATTATCAAGGACAAGATTTAAATGTCAGCAATTTACAGTAATCTGCAACACTGAAGTAATCATCTAAAGAAGGGCCCCATGCCTGGAGGACTATGTATGACATTGAAGAGGACTTACCAATCTTTGCCACCTTTCCCTCCCCTCCCATGTATCCCTTATCCTCTATTGCCTTCTTTCATTAATTAGACCTCCTTGGTCTTTAAGATGCATAGTCAGACAAGCATAGCAAATCCCTCATTTGTGTTACAGGTATATCCAGAAAAATAAAAGCTTTTGGTGTATTTTTTTCCCAAATCATTTTTGTTTTTAGTTACAATGATTTTTTGATGATCCAGAAACACATAACCCATTTATTGTGCAGCATTATGCCTAGGGGAAACCTGATTTTAAGCTATGAATGCCAACTTAAACATTTTTGAAATGTAACCCATTCGTAAGTTGGGGACTATGAACCAAAATAAATATATACTGTATAGTGAAACTATTCACATTGCCCCAGGTAAGTGCTATAAATATAATATGATGGGAGACCAGAAACTGAAGGATGTCTGACTCCAAATTGTTTTAAAGTCACCATGACTGCTGGGAGACACCACTGAGATATTGGAACAACCATATGGACATCATTAGTCTTTAAATACTGACACCATGTAAATTGTCATATGATGTTGTCGGAACTTCACTAGAATGCAGTTCTACTGCAGTTGACAGCACGTGACGATGACCACACTTTCAGGAATAAGTAATGCCTGCCGTTAAAACATGAACTTAGCATTTCTATTACGTGTTCCTTATTACATGAAGCACCAATATTTAGAAACGTAGCGGACAAAACAGGATAACAAAATCACGAGACATGAAAATTCCAAGTTATTTTCCAATGGAACCAGCTGTGACTATTTATATGTGGCTAATTCTAGATGCAAATGAATATTTTTTAGCATAAAATTACATGAATCAGCACATATAACAAAGCAACCTAGCTCAATCTTATTCTACATAATTTTGACAATAAAGGCAGGTTTAACAAAAAAACTTGTTATATTTTAATATATATATATATATATAATCACTAGCTGGCTTTTGTGACAAAATAACATATGAACAACACATCATATAGACTTTCTTATGATTAACAGTCACCCTATATAATACCTATGAATCTGAGAATCAAGACAAACTACAGTGTGTGTTAAAGATATGAAAAGGTCCCAGAGGCAGACAATAATCACTGACCATACATTTTTGTTCAATAACATATTGATTATAGATGAACTCCCTCAATACTTCTTTATGGCAATAAATAATTTTCACTAATCTGTGAGCACTTGGCTTTCATTTCAAAGTGTCTATATCCTAAATCATTTAATGCAATCAGTTGCTACACGCCAGAATTTCTATTTAAAAATGTTCTCAACAAACAAGAAGCGTACAAGACTGCTCTGTATGCACTAACATAACTAGAAATGGAATGGTTACAAATAAATATACAAGGAAGAAACTCACTACACATGAGAGAAACCCTAATAATGAAGAAGACAATTATTAACTTCCTAGAATGGTAAACTTACAACTAAAGACTAACCATGCAAGGAATAAACCTGTATACTACAGAGAAAATGCCACCTCATCTTCACTTTCATTTTGCCAAGCACATCGAGCGAGTCATACAAATATAATTACATCATTTCAAAGTAAATTTTGGAAAATATCAATGTGTCACTTTCCACAAGCAGAGGAGCATAAACCTCACTTCAACATCCAATTATTTATTAAATATGTCTTAGACAATTCTAATGACATTTTGAATCTAATTTGCACTTTTAAGTTTTTTCAATACATAGTAACTCCCTAACCAGCGCGAATTTGTGATAATGCTTCTGGCATGAACTGTACATCTATTGAAATCTTAAATTTGTTTCATTGTAAAATTGCATGATCACTTGCACAAATAAGCATATTAAGTTACAGGAGTCCAATCATGCATGACACAATTATCAAAGTATTAAATAGATTTAAACATGACTTCATTTTTAAATATTTAAAGTTTGGTTCAATTTCTTTTTTTTTTTATGAGGGGGGGGGGGTTTACTCCTGAAGAAACTTGAAAGGTAAAGTCACCCTATATAATCTTTCCAAAACATGCCGAGATCCGCTTCATAAACCAAAAAGAGAGGTCTTTACATTAAAGCAAAGTTTTCCCACCGTGTGTGAAGCAGCGAGTTACATACAGAAACAAAATACGACTGGCAGTAGTGTATTCATGAAATACTGAACTATCTATATAAAACCTATGTCAAGACTGCTTGAAATATCTTTAGGTTTGAACTATAACTGGTGTGGATGCTGTCTATCAGATCCAACAATGTTTCACCACAGAAAGCTGGATTTTGAAGGCAAAAATCATTAATTATTTATATAGCAAGTTCTCAAAAATATCACATGAAAAATACTTTTCTCTAAGTACCACATGAAAAAATGGCATAAAAATCATGTAAAATGCTACCTGAAAGTTTCAAATTTTGAAGACAAAAAAATGACAGCACATTCACAGACGTACGTAGTATTAATATAATAGGGCTCCTACAATCTGAAACTTGGAAAATACTTGACAGCAAAAATACTGGGAACAAAGTTAAATTTGAACTTAACATAAGAAATTGAGATACTTAAAACTTTATACATGACTATTAGGGGCCCATGAGCCTTGTTCCTACAGCATATACCTGATCCTTGCAACCATTAATATTTAAAGCTTGAAGTGATAATTTTTCAAAAGTTTAAGAATTATCAGTGTGTGTATTTTCATTCTCGAGGACAAAAGGCTTTCCTAGCACTATTCCCTAGTCATAAGAGTTGGCTGGACAAAAAATTACAAAGCCAATGACACAACACATTAGTATAAGGAACTAGATTATTTTCTAAATCACTGCAATAATAACAAAGAATCTGTTATCGGTCAGTTCAATGCAGACATTTCCACCCTGGGAAATCTTAATGCAGTGAATGGCCAAGATTTGGTACCAATTGCCAAACATCAAAAGCAAGTCAGACCTCCTAAAATTCAGGCCAGATATTCATGAATATATTGATCTTTTAAATACTAACAATACACCTTGGTATCAAAATGACAACTGTCTAGTTGATACAAGTTAAATTTTAAAATTATAATATTCATTTAATTTAAAGAGGTTTTTCTAACTTTTCTAGATCAAATTCCAGCCTTGGGAACGCACAAACCAGCCCACACAGCAGTTGTAATAGCATTACGCAGCAAACTTATTCCACATTAGCTTAAGTTATGTATATCTCACTGAACATGTGAACTATTCCTTACAGTGATTCCATAAGCCATTTATTTACGAGATTCTTCAATGACCAAAATTTCCTGCTAAATAAACAGCAGTGTTAATGAATTTTTTTTGTTTTATTATTTGTTTCTTTACTATACTATGAGACATTTCTTTTTAATGACAGTGGATGTACGTCATAAATGTCAACTTACTACAAACTAGAGCTTCAGAGAGAATTTACGTCAAAAAAATCTGAATAAATGAAACAATACATTTAATAATGAGTCATATACCTATCACTTGTATTTGTAAATTAATGGTCATTTAAAACAACATGCAGGAACAGCAATTTCCTTATTAATTGTTATATTCTGAAATCCATCGGTCATAGACCTATGTGAGCAACATTGTAACTAACACATTTCAGTGGCTATGAATGTGTCATAGTGCACAACACACACCCACACATACACACAAGCGTGCACACACCCACATACATGCACATGCACACACACACGCACAGGACTTACTGGAAATGATTACTACAACTTTTGTTAAGTATACAGCCAATATAATTACACAATAGCTCTGTAATCAACACGATAAGTCTACCTTTTTATTAGACTACTCGATTCTTGAACTTCAGAATATTTTACACAGGTATATTAACCCTATAGAACAAATGTTTCTGAAAATGTTCCAATAAATTTGTTAAAACATTTTAGATACAACTATATATATATATACCAATTTAATAGTTTAACTGCTTCTGAAAAAAAAGAACAGTACTTTTAATATTTATTTACCATTTTTTTATTATTCACAGCTTTATTAAGCTTACATTATGTAACCCTAGAAACTTATTAATTTTCATCAAATTTCAGAAGCAATTACTGTATATTTAACTTACGGATCAACATTTAAGTGGAAAAATGTCATTTTAATTGTTGTATTCAAAACAATAAATTTCCCAGTTTTTTTTTTCATTAACACGATTAAAATCCCAAACCTATAAATCAGAAGTTTCTGATACAGAGTCATCGGCAAAGTAGAATTCATCAGCCAAGTCTTCCAATTCCAATTCCAAGAGCAGAGTTTGGATTGAGCCTCGAAGCAGCTCCAGACGATGTTCTCGCTCTTCAATAAAATCCCAGAGCACCATATTCTGGTAATAAATGTGTTCATTAATTTATGAAGTATTTTGTAAGCAACTGAAGAAAGATAACAGAAATATGGCCACAGGGAATGCACCTAGTACAGTATATGATAAAAGAAATGCATCCTCTGCCTACACCTTTTCATATGAACTACTTCTTACGAACTTTCATATGAACATACTTCTTTTGCGGTTATTACACTATATAAACACACATTATATATAAGTATCTACATTTGTGTTCACCACAGTGAACCATTAAGCTGGTATGGCGAGTCCCGACAATAACAGGTCACCACACAGAGTCAGCAGACGATGCTACCTCCCTCCCTCACCAAGATTACTCCTCCCACCATAATACGCACAGCGCTAATTATCAGCACAATCCTGCTAATTTTTATCACAGTCAAGGGTCTTCTGTAATACTATTGCTTCTTAATAGCAGTTACATATATATTTTGACATTTTTAGGAGATGCTGTGGTCACAGGCTGAACAGCAGTGCTGTTAGCTCATGCTGCATGCATCAGCCTTGGTTGCTCACTCAGTACTAAAGCTCTCACACCTGGGAATGTTACCCGCAATTTTTATTTTTAAATGGCATCTGTTTACTAGAGCCCTGAAGAAGCTGATGTGAACCCTGTGTAGCCGAAGGACTTTTAAACCTTGCTCGGTACTTTAAATCAGATACTGTATATGCAATGTGCACCGCTCAGCAACATTTACTCAAATCATATACAGTATATATGTATTGCACGCTTTAAGGGTTAATGTCCATCTGAAAAATGTAGTAATGTGATGCTAATATGAAGTGTGTTGTCCCTGTGGTAATATTTTGCTGCTGCTTTTGTGCAGTGAGGTTATGTTATATTTAGTGTCTCATATATTATGTAAACATTGACTTCAAGACAAGTTGGAGTGAGTTAGATGTAATTTATGTACTTAGCATAACTAGCAAAGCATTTATTACTTACATCAAGATACAACTGTAATTCTCCATCTGCAGTAAATCGACGACGGCGTCTTGGAGGACCAACATCTTTCTTTGTACCATCGGGGAGAGCATGTAGATAGAAGCACTTATTGCCAAATGGACACTGTCCCTCTCCTTGCTTGAAGTACTTACAGGGTTTAGCACTGCAATAAATCATACAACAGCTTCAGTACAGCGAGTCAACAAATTTTTGTCATACAAGGCTAGTCCAAAACGTTCTGAATATTAGTGGTATTACAGGGTATATCATTTTTGTGCAGTACCAATGAATATTCCACCGAATCATGTTTCAAATGTATTTTATATAATATAATTATTACGATAAGGAAGTGAGAGAGCAAAGAGAAATGGCTCATTACATGATGTTAGAAGGATTTCCTGCCAGGAAATCTTAAATAAGATTTTCCATTGTAAGGAAGGTATATGAAGTTATTAATAGATAATTAAATACAGAACTGTAGGACATGAAATACAATATCACATGTACATATGGTAAACAACTTAAGTGCATGGACAGAACCCTGGGACACTTCAGTTCAAAGGAGATGACTCCATTTATGATTAACCGAATTTTCTTCAGATGACACAATGTTTCTAATCCCAATTATGAGACCTCTAGTCCATCCCCCCCCCCCAACACCTACCACCATTTTCATTACACTTTAAGAAGGACTCTTATCAAAGTGGATAAAGGCAGATATATAAATTAATAAGCGGTAGAACAAGGGAATGTTGGTGGAAGATGGAGATGCAAACGAGAAGAAGAGACATAAGGAAGTTCTCGCTCCCAGTAGGGATGGTAGAAAAATGCAATGAAGGGAGAGGTTGTTAAAGCCAATTCCATCCACAACTTTAAACAAATTAGGCTGAGAATGTTAATATTGAAAGAGGTAATTACTCCCAGGTAGAAACTGGCTAGGAAATGGGGCATAAAGAGCTTCATCTCACTCCCTGGTAGTCACTGATAAATTAACAAAGACTTTGCTAAAGCCAATATATATATGTCAAAAATCTTTTTCATTATTGACATTTTAATCATCCTGCCTTGTAAAATAAGAAGGGAATACAGCAGAGAAATTCATAAAAAACTTAATTCTCAATGCACCTTATAAACATTTTTTTGATTTACAAGAAACACAAATTATTAAAACAAATTAGAAACATTGAGTACCACTAGCCACTAGATGGCAGCACATTACATGTAATATAAAGATAAAGTAACCGATTATAACACAAAAATTATAATACAAAAATTGAAAAATACTTCTTTATAAACAGAATGGCTGGAAAGGGCTTCAACAGGAGACAACCCGTGCCTAAACTACTTAACAGTACCGCTGACACAATAAGCCCAACTCTAATCCTGATACACTAAACACTAGTACATACTATAAATAGACATCAGAAATGGACACACAAAATACCTTAGTGCAATTTGGTAACTATCAAGCAGTTTATCTTTCTCTTCCTTATCTTTGTCATCAACCCAGTACCGAGAGGGGATAACAAAATCACTCTGCGTTCGGCACTCTGGACAAGATCTGTGAACGATGAGCAGAAATTTTGATGTTTTTCATAATGCAATTTCTCATTACATAGTTCACAAAGAATACTCATTTTACCCATCCATACCAAATATTTTAAGCTATTTCCTGAAAAATTATACTTAATTAATTTTGATCCATTCACTGTATTATACAGTATTAGCATTTGTATATACAGCATAGACCATACCCTGTAGCCCACCAGTAAGTAATACAAGCAGCCTCAAATTCCATTATAGAGTTGGATAGAGGAGGGAAAGGGTTTGGACTGGAAACCCATCTCCACAAAAATTTCTTCCCACTATGGTGGCACCACCACACTCCAACACACGAATTGCGACCAAATTGGTCCCATTTACAAATTATTCTGGTCCACTAAGAGTTTCACAATTTATTGTAAATATTTTTTTGCCATAATTGACATAACAATTCTTAAGTAAGTTTAAACAATAAAATGGTACATAAAACCAGACTTGAATGTAATGAAACACCATTTTCTGGATGAGCCCTGGAGGCTCCCTGGAGCTATAGGACTGATATGCACTATATTAGTCTAGGGCTTCAGTCAATGGAGTTCTGCCTACCAGGGACCAGAGCCAGAACTTGGCCCCTTCAGCGAGGCACAGGGAGCAATGGCCTAAGGAGACCCTCCGTTGTATTTAGGGGTATTCCTTGTCTGCCATCAACTTGAGTTAGGCACCCAGAAAGGTAGGCATCCCAAAACAAACACCATATGGTAGGAAATCGGAAAAAAAAGTCCAAATAGAGAAACAGAACTCCCCAAAGGAAAAAAGCAAACAAGCAATCATCATTCACCGCCGCCGCGCCGCTTGTCCGGGCAGTCCTTTCCTCCTTGGGAGGGGAAGGGGGAAGCTCCGGACCTATTCACACCTTAGTTTGGAGACTGAGCATCAAAAACGAAACTGCCGATGCTCAGACTCGGGTAGGCGCCAAGGCACCGAACCCAAAAAAACACAAAGAGGAAGCCGGCGATGCAGCAACTGACACATGGCTCCTGGAGGGTGAACCCAACAATCACGAGAGGTGGGAAGGGCTTCCCCAAAAGAACTAGAACAGACGCAGTTTAAATTACCCAGCCAACCCAGCGGGTAGCCCAGCAAGGCAAAGCTCAGACTCCCACACAACTGCTCAAGCAACCGCCGAGTGACCCCTAGACCCCCCCTGAAACAGCTGAAGGAAGGACTGCAGCCACAGCAATGCCTCCAGAGGGAGAGATACGGAAGTGGTCCGTGAGTCCCAAACAAAACCCAGCCAGGTTTGAACCTGGGACGAAATCAGATGGGACTTCCGCCAGTTTACCAGAAACTTGAAGCAGCAGATAAGCAGACTGACTGGGATGCCCACACCAGTCAGTCATCGAGGTAGGCCAGAACCCAAACCCCTAGGAGACACAGACAGGTCACCACAACCTGGGTAAGACACGCGAAAACGTGAGGTGCCAGATTCAAGCAAAAAGGAAGGCAACGAAAGCGTTAAGCTAGATGCCCCACCATGAAACTTAACCAGTCCGTGAACTCTTTCTCTGTCTCTTTGCCTCCGATTCCTTGGCAAGTGACTCCTCGAACTTGGAGAGACCTCGTTGAACAGACTGCCTCCAGGCTGAACGGTCTGTAGCCAGTGTCTCCCATATAGCAAGATCGACGTCCATGGCTTTCAGGTCCCTTTTGCATACGTCTTTGTACCGTAGCTGGGGCTTGCCTACTGGACGCTTTCCCTGCCTCAGCTCTCCATACAGGAGATCCTTGGGGATCCTGCCGTCGCCCATTCGCACAACGTGCCCGAGCCAGCGCATTCGTCTCTGTTTCAGCATTGTGTACATGCTGGTGATTCTTGCTCTCCCCAAGACGTTGTTGTTTGTCACCTTGTCCTGCCAGGTGATGTCCAAGATGTGTCGAAGGCAGCGCATGTGGTAGGCATTCAGCCGTCTTTCCTGACGGGCGCGGAGTGTCCAAGACTCACTGCCATAAAGGAGAGTGCTCAGGACACAGGATCTGTAAACCTGAATCTTAGTATACTCAGTTAGCCTATTGTTTGGCCCACACTCTCTTTGTCAGTTTGGACATGGTAGTAGATGCCTTACCGATGCGTTTGTTTAGCTCCGTATCAAGAGAGAGGGAGTCAGAGATTGTGGAGCCCAGGTACACGAAGTCGTGAACAACTTCCAGTATGGAATCAGAGATGCCGATGTCAGGTGGGGAGTCCACTCCTTGTCCCATGACTTGTGTTTTCTTCAGACTGATGGTGAGTCCGAAAGCCTGAGAGGCCTCGCTGAAGCGGGTTATGAGCCGTTGGAGGTCTTCAGCTGAGTGGGCAGTGACTGCTGCGTCGTCGGCAAAGAGGAAGTCGCGCAGACACCTCAGCCGAACCTTTGTCTTGGCTCTCAGCCTGGCGAGGTTAAAGAGCTTCCCATCCGACCTGGTCCGGAGGTAAATGCCTTCCGTGACAGATCCGAAGGCGTGCCGCAGCATAACTGCGAAGAAAATCCCGAATAGGGTTGGAGCCAGTACGCAGCCCTGCTTTCTGGATGAATAGGAATGTACCAATATGAGTCCTTGAGGTTCAGGGACACCATCCAGGCACCCGGCTCCAAAAGAAGCGGACCTGAGACAGGGTAGTCATCCAAAAGGACGGACAAGGAATCCAGGGGTTCAGACGGGGACAAGTCCAGAATGAACTTCAGATCTTTACAGTTCTGTTTCGGTACTTTTAACAGGCAGGAAACCCACCGGAAGGACAAGGTCGTTTCGACCACACCCAAGCGCATCCACTCTAAGATGAACCGACGAATCGCAGGGGAAGAAGCCTGCCTCGCCAACCCTGAACGCCCCAAAGGAGAAAGAGCCACCCAACACCACCAGAGGCCGGATGACATGACCCGAAACGCCCACAAATCGTAGGACCAAACGTAAGCAAACAGAGCATGCCTCCCCCCCCCCATCACCTCGCCAAAGGGGCGAACCGCGAAAGGGCTGACGCCCCTTACGAGAAGCCGACTGACGAACGAAGTGATCATTGTGCCAACTGTACAACACCGGCTCCGAAGGAAGCGCTGGCTCAGAAGCTGGCACCAATGGCCCACCCCAAGCCCTGGCACGACCCTTCCAAGAAGATCGAGCATGGCCACCGTGGACAACCAAGTTCGACATCGGATGCTAACTAGATGAAGCCGCCGACAGAAATTGCATGACAGCAGCCTCCACAAACAGCAATGGACAAAACAGTGACGAAAACCTAAGAGCCAGGGCCCAAGAGGATTCCAAAAGAGAGAGAGAGAGCACAGTCTGACAGCACACGAGAAGAGAAGCAAAGAACAGATACCGCCTTCATCAGCATAGGTGCAAACAGTTTCAACAGTGCGGCCAACACCCAAGCCGCCGAGGCCAGCACACCCGACAAAGCCCTCAACGAATCCACATCCTCAAGCCTGGCCAAAGACAGTTTGGGATGGGAAAAGAAGCACAAAACCGAAGCCAAATGCCCATGAGCGCACAAATCCTAAGCAACCAAAAACCTGCACGTGCAGGTTTCTACCTGCACGTGCAGCTGTACAAGGCCAACATCCCGAGAAAGAACGGGGGAACAAGCACACACATTAAGGTGCTCGAATTGGCCCCCCTCCCCAGGTAAACCTGTAGAATGGTAGAATTTCTCGCCACTCATGCATACAGGTCCAACAGAACCCATGCCACGCTCCCAACAAAAAGTACAGGCAGTCTGCCAGCCAGGAAGACTCCAGATCCTCCAAACGCACTCAATATGGGGGAAAAGAAGAACTGAATACAAATGAGGATGGATCCATGACAGAGGCAGAATCCAGGTCTCGCAGGAGGTACACAGCAAGAGCTTCCCGAACCTCCTTAGGTGAGATTCGAGAGGCAGAAATCCGAGAGGCAGAATGAAGGAGCCGAGGAACCCAAGGGGACCTAGAACCGAACCCGGGGAGGAGCCAACCGCAAATTATACTTATACAGGGAAGAGGGGTAAGAAAACCCCTTCCCCTACAACAACAAGCCCCACAAAGAGGGCACCAACACCCAAGCGGGGTCGAAGGGAGCCTAAGGCCTCCAGGACAACAACTCCCCAGTCCCAGCATCCCCCAAGTTGGGACCCAGGGGCAGAGACAGCCTCCAAACCTCCAACCCCTGAAAAAAACCAGCGTTGAATGTAAAGAAACGCCATTTTCTGGATGAGACCCGGAGGCTCCTCGAAACTTACTAGGCTGATATGCTAATTTCAGACTTTGACATCAGTCACGTGCATGCAGTTCTGTGGGCCTACCGGGGACAACGACCAGAACCTGTCCCCCTCAGAGAGGCATGGGGAGCAATGGCCTATAGACACCCCCGTGTGGTTGGAAGCATTCTATGTCTGCTATTGACCGGGTCAGGCACCCAGAAATGTAAGATCCCAAAACAAACCCCTCTATTCTGGTGAAAATATTGCTACCAAAAGCCAAACAAGTGAATAGAACTCTCCTAAACGAAACAAGCAAACAACCATGACGTCACACGTCGCCGCGTCACTGTCTGCACAGCTCTCCCCTCCCCGGGAGGAGGAAGGGGGAGCCCCAGACCCCACATGCCGGCTATCCACCTTTAGTTCTTAGGCTGGATGTCAAAACACGCAAAAACCCGCCGACCAGAGGGAGGGATGGATGTCGGGAAGCCTCTGGATCTCATCCAGAAAAAGGCATTTCATTACATTCAACGCTGGTTTTCTGGGGGGAGCCCCTTCGGTTTCCCGAAGCTAACTACCCCACAGAGAAAAAACTTAGGGACTTACCCGGGGGGTGGTCGTTGCTCACTCTACAACTCGAAGGCGAGACAATTGGCTGCAACCGCTGACCCAAAACGATACAGGCACGACTAGGCCCAGGGACGAGCACGAGGTAATGAGCAGCCAAGACCCTGTTCGACCACCAAAAGCCCCGTGCCAGAATGTCAGGCCAGGTCATGGAGCCAAAGACGGCAGTAAGAGCAGCAAACTTACGAACGTTACAGGCACGGGGAGAGACCTCAGGCTGGCTAGCTTGAAGAACTCTGTGGACGACCTCGGTGACCCGCATCCTCGAACAGGGAAGAAGGGAACCGAATCAATCCAAAGCGCATCCCCGGACACAAAAGTCATGGCGTGCAACAACGGCGAAGAGCCGCCACCAGACACAACATGATGCACCCCCAACCCAACCAACCAAGCATCAATAACCCAGGGACCCCTCCGGAAAGCAGCAGTCCCGGTCACCGCCAGAAAAGGAGATGGCAGCAGACGAACAAAACCAACACGAAGACCGAAAGAGCAGAAACCCCTGTACCATTCATTACACAAGAATGAATGGTACAAAATAAGTCACAAAAATAAGTCACAAAAATAAGTCACAAAAATAAGTCACAAAAATAAGTCACAAAAATAAGTCACAAAAATAAGTCACAAAAATAAGTCACAAAAATAAGTCGCAAAAATAAGAAAATAAATCACAAAAGAAATTCCACAACATAAGTAAATAAGCAGAGCTATAATGATAATGTTATTAAATTAAATTATCAGTAGTATGGAGACTGAAGGAAACAAGATTTTACTTTTAGACAGCCTATGACTTTCAGAATTTTCTAACTGGAACTTATTAATGGCAAATTTACATGAAAGATGCCTAATGTATGCAGTAGAAACAATATAATCTCTTAAAGCACACTTACCGAACAATTTTATTTTCAAACTGTTTAGATTGCCGCCATTTGCGTATGCAGTTCAGACAGAAGCAATGGGCACAATTAGGTAAGATGCCAAATCTTCGCTGAGACGCCAGGGGACGTTCCATTACAGTATCCATGCAGATCCCGCAAACTTTGTCTCGAGATCTTGCAACAGCAAATGAATGCTCCATTTCTGCTTCCATTAGCTTAGTACACTCCTACAAAAGTAATACTTTATACAACTGGCAATCACATATTTAATGTTAATTGCTATCTTTTGGTATATATTCTTTGCTTTATTGATATTAGGTCTACACATGGAGTGCTTGACTATCTGCCCTCTCCAATTACAATATACCTTTTAATTGTTTAATTTTTTGTTTTTACAATGTATAATTTATCATTAGCATTGCTAATGAATACCCAAAAAAACCAGCGTTGAATGTAATGAAACGCCATTTTCTGGGTGAGACCCAAAGGCTCCCCGGGGCTATCCAGGCCGATATGAATATACAGTGGCTCCTCCGTTTATGAATTTAATCCGTTCCCAGAGACAGTTTGAAACCCGAAAATTCGTAAACCGAAGCAAATTTTCCTGTAAGAAATAATGTAAATTGAATTAATCCATTCCACACTCCCAAAAGTATTAACTTTAAAAGTAAATTTTATACCTAATTCACCCAAATCTTTAGTACTAAAGTATGTACAAGTTATTGCTTACCTTTATTGATGACTCTTGTTGGTGTATGAAAAATAGTGAGAAGGGGGGATGGAGGAGGAGAGGTGTTACTGTTTGGAAGGGGAGTCCCCTTCCATTATAACATCAGGCAGTGAGGACTTCTCTGGGGTACACACTCTGGCACGTTTTGCCTGCATACCACTAAGACCTGCTTGTGACTCACTGCTTGCTTGTCTTATTAAGAATCTGTATAAAGACACTTGCTTTTCCCTACATTTTAACACTTGTCTGTAGTAAGACATCGCATTGTCATTTAAAAGGTCAATGCAGCAGCCTGCTACAGCTTTATCTGGGCGAGTTTTTTCAACAAAACTTTGCAGTTCTTCTCATACTTCACACATTTTCTTAATGAGAACGGAACATCCTTTACTGCCTCTACTCACAACTATTTTCGTAGGTTGAACCTTACCACTGACTTTCTTGGGACCCATGGTGATACATACAAATAATTATTTTAATGTTCAAATATCCAAAAATCCAAAAAATACTTAAATTCTTTACAAAGAATTCAGGCGCGATTGTCACTAGGCGGGAGGCACTGGTAAACCGAGGCGTTCGCTGTGCCACCACGTTTGTATCAACAAACTACATTACCCGAAGCAAACTTCGTAACCCAATTCGGATTTTACAAAGACCTTGGGCTCGTAACCTGAAAAGTAGGTAGAGAGGGGCATTCGTAAGCCAAGGTGTCACTGTATTAGTTTTCTGGCATCAGTAAATGTGCATGTTCTTGCTGGAACATGTTCTTAGTTCAAACACACGGGGGTTTCTATAGGCCATTGCTCCTCATGCCCCTCTGAGAGGGGCCAGGTTCCGGCTCGTGGTCCCCGGTAGGCACGAACTCCAACCCGTTCTCGCAAATTCGTAAAGTCAATATCGACTTATTAACTACGTGCATAGGTGATATACTAAACATAATAGATACCCTTAAAAAAATTCATAGAAAACACCGACCTTACCTAACCTTGTTAGTATCTTAAGATAAGCATCTTATTGCTTCGTAATTACAATTATTACTTAACCTATACCTATTATAGGTTAGGTAATAATTGTAATTACGAAGCAATAAGATGCTTATCTTAAGATACTAGCAAGGTTAGGTAAGGTCGGTGTTTTCTATGAATCTTTTTAAGGGTATCTATTATGTTAAGTATGTCACCTATGCACATATTTAATAAGTCAATATTGACGTATTAAATTTGCGAGAACGGGTTGCAAACTCTATGCACGTTGACTGAAGCCAGAAAGCTGATGAATCCGTATCAGCCTGGAGAGCTCCGGGGAACCGACGGGGCTTCCCCCAGAAAAAAATCAACCATTGAATGGCTCTGCAAAAATTTACATTTAAGTAATATTTCCCTTTAATGCAGACTTTTATATATCAGATAATTATAAAAGTATAAAATAGTTGTATCAGACTCATCACAGCCTCAATACGTATGTATACTAAATTCTTGACATTCGTAACAGTTATCAGTGAACCATGTACCAGACTACACCACTCCGTGTTTATCTGCTTCTTCATTATCCCAATGTATTGGTGATATGCCATTTCATCACCAATACATTGCATAACTATCTTTAAATGTAATAGGGCCCTAAGACACGTTCCCTAAGTTTCCTTCCTGGACCATAGTAAAACGATGCACACCATGTTTGACACTATCATCATCCAGTGACTGAACGGGCAGGGCAGCCATGTTAACGCTGTGCAAAATTGCAATGACCTCAATGGACCTAGAAGTTTTTAGGGATGAGGAGAAATATGTAATAAATATATATTAGGCAGTTAACTAGGATGTTATCCCCTCAGAATATGAACTAAGCTGTTATAACAGCAAGGGAAGAGAGAGACTAAGGAGTGAGGGTATGTTGACTGACAGACCAGTTGTTGTACTGACAACTCACACACTTCTAGCTGCCAAGGAGTAAATTTTATACAATACCCGATTTTACTCAAAAGCGGTCATAACATACGAAAAGAAAAACATACAAATAAAGGACACTGAAAAAGGACTATTGACCCAAATACGGCAGCTCCTATTTATAATACCCTGTTGCTAGTTTGATAATGCTGGGTGTGACCATATTTTAGTGTTCAAGGAACAAGATAATGGCTGTGGTGGTGGTGGAAAAACTGATTTCACGTCAACTGAAGCTAATTTGCTTCAATAAGCTACTAAATGTGATGAAACTAGTAATAATAGTATCTGTTTGAAGCATAACGAGTACTGTATAGGAGTTTGTGGTGCAAGTACGCCAGCTAATGACACACATTTATCTGGTAGTCTTTGGAAAGGAGTACTGTCTATGACATTTTACTAACTACTGACTGCTTCTTGCAGCATGAGCCGGTCACAAATGCACTGCTTGCTGAGCAAGAAGAGAGAGAGAGATTAAAGATCAGAAACACATTGCTGATAACATATATGGTACAATAAGTGACGTTTGTTGTGATCTGCACCTTGACTTTCACTGGCAATCACTCTCTCCAGAACTTTTAAAACACAGCAAGTCTCTGATATTCATTTACGATATATATATTTGCACATAAAATGTGTTTAGTGTGTAATTGTAAAACTTAGGCTCAAATACTGGTATGAATATATACAGGTTGTGCATATATTCACACACATTTATACATGCCTATATTTTCCAAGGTATACATAATGAATTCCCCTATTGGCACACCAATACTACCTCTGTGAATGAGAAATATTAAATAAAATGAGAAACAATGGAAATAAATCGGCAGAATCATTGCTGTACAGCACCCCACCTCGTCACCCACCACCCAGCTACCAAATCAACACAACACTGGGACACTACAACTAAACCACTTCAGGTAGAGACTTTTTATGTGGAATTTCATGCTTCCTGGATGATGATTAACAATATCGTAGGAAAAATCATTTTTCAGAAACATTTTTTTACTCGCACAGTTTTAGCTAATGTAGTCAGGGGGGTTAAAGAACATTTTGGTAACTATTTTCAAAAAGCAAATTTATCTTACCTCCTTGTGTGTTCTCCTTTGCTCTTTATCATAAGGATGTAAGCAAGCTAGCTGGCAGACTTCACACAGTAAACCATGGATATAAGAACAATTTTCACCTATCTGACATTTGCCAGACATTAAGTAGGTAGGGCACAGCTCACTGTCTGATGACCTAAGGTCACTGATGAAGCCTGAAGAGGAATCTTTGTCTCCACCACCAGCAACTTGAGCATATGAGACATCATATTCTGTTTTGAACAGAGTAATTATCAATTTATATTTTGGACATCACAATAAATAAATATATTTTAGCAAAAATAAAACCACTTCTGTTTCTGTGCAAAATAGTTAACATATATCCTCCATGTGAACATTCGTCTCATACACACACATTATTTCACTGCCCATTCACAACATTATTGGATTTATGCTTAACATAAGAAACACTGAGGCCTAGTGACCTATATGACTCAATCCTATTTTAAAATTCGCTCCATCTTCTTCACTTTCACCTTCTCATGGTCTTTCATCATCTTATTTTCATCGGCTTCCTTCATATAGCTGCACCACCAAAGATTTCCACAGATTACTTTACCTCTTTTGTTCAAACTACTTTTTCAATCCCACAAAAGAAATTCATAAAAATGTATCCAACTAAAGGTGTCATTGATCCCAAGAACTGGAGACCCCACTAAATAGATGATCTTACTCAGTCTTAAAACATGCCAACTCTTGCAAAATACTTAGCAACATCCACAAATTTTGCACAGTAATGAAAATAACATTTGGGGGCAAAGAATGAGATATGTTCAACCTACAGTACTGCATTGTAATGTATCTAAATAATACTGTATTGGGATAATTGGTTTGTTGTAGGTGTACTTTATTGAATTTGAGGCTTCTACAGTAGACCGAGATGCTGACTCAATCTCCCTTCATACTTGTACTGTACAGGTTAATACCGTGGAGACTAACTCTCTGCCTGTAACAACTAAGACTACTGAAACTAATCCCCTTGGAATCAGGGAAATGCATGTAGAAAATTGGTTTGGCAATAATTATTTATTTTCAAGATACCACCATAGGTCTACCAACCCCCCCAACCCAATTGTATGCCCTAAAATTTATCAGCGAGGGGCAACACAGCCCAATAACACTCGAGACATTCCTGGTACAGTACCACCATATGCAAGTGGTGAGAATCTTTGGTGTATTTGTTCCAAGGAAATACACCAAAAATTCTCCAGATATTGCTTGGACACTTACACAATACCTGTACAGAAATAAGTGAAAACCCAACATATGGTATACTTAAATATAGAGAAGACGACTTGCACAAAAATATAATTTGATAATAGCCTGTCAAAGGAGATATGTATCCCTGGTCTCTCTGTCATTCACGTCTCACACTGCAAATACTATGAATATTCTTAAAACTAAAATGACCACTTTGTATGTACAGTATGTAATAAAATATAGACATACAGTATAGAATAAGAGTGAAAAGCAGTGGCTGACAGCAATCATCTATTTAATATGAGGGGGAAATAAAACAAAAGGATATAGGTGGGAAAAGAATTCACGTGCAGCTAAGGTATTAAGCATGTTCAATGATCTGAAAAGTGGAAGGTGTGGAAGCCTTCTTCAACAGCTGTAAGAACAAGTACAATAAAGCACATGAAAGTCAACAGCAGTGTAACAAACCCAACAGCCAAGAGGCAGGGCCAAAGAGCTCAATATTACTCCTCATCAATGCAGGTATGCACACACAAATATTTCACTCATACTTTGTGGCAGGGCCAAAAATTATCCAAGGAATTAGAAGACTAATACAAATGAGAAGAAACCAGGCCTAATTATATTTATAGTAAACCTATATTAATTTGTAAAGACCATACATGCCTAGGTTATGCAAGTACTGAAGCTACTGTACAGGAAACTTTATACACTGTACAGTAATTCCGTTCAAAACAAAAACACAAAGGCAATTATAATTTTAAAAATTATATTTGTATATTTTCAGAAAGCCTCAAAGAATGAAAGTCATGGGCATAGCAGTGAGTGATTTGCGAGTCACTTGGTTAGGCTAAGCATCTTTGGTTACCCTAACCGAGTGACATGCAAATATGAAAAAATGTTAAGAAAATTACTGGAATGAACAGTCATTCAACACTCGCTACAATTTTACAGAACAGAATAATCAATACTTACGCTTAGAAATATTATCTTTGGCAAATCTAGGTACAAATTCTGGGGCATCCACCCAAGATGGTGCAGGACTGTCTTGGCTCAAATTTTGTAAACGCTCATGTTTACTGCACAGTTTTGTTAAATTGATGCCACTGTTGCTGTTATTGCTGCTTTTGTTGCTGTTCCTACTACTGGAGCTGCTTGTATTGCTACGGCTGCTGCTGCTGCTGCTTGTGTTAGTGGTGCAGCTACTGGTCTTGTTGATGTTACTGTTATTTTTGCTGCTGCAAGTGCTATCCAATTTCCTAGTACCTCCACCACTAGCAGGTGGATCACTTGAAGGGTTATATAAGAACTCCTTGGCATGTATGCTGAAAATTTTAGCAAACATTTTGTTAACTGCAATATTGGTAAAATATTAAATAACAAAAAGCTAATTATTGCAATACATCCTCATATATAAAAATTTGACTTTTGCACAGATGGGATTCAAAGATATATAGTGTTACAGTGGGGTGCTGGTGTGGATGACCTGCAGGAATGTGGTAGCATATATCATTGTTATAGTATGCAGTGTCGATGATGTAATGAAAGGACAAGTGATGTATATGTAATATCTAAAAGTATAAAATTATTTCTCTACAGTGCTCCCTCAAATATCCAGGCCTCCACAGAACTGATCCCTCTATACAACTATCAAATTATACTACAAGAACACTACTCCAATATCCATATTTTTTTCTCAATAATACGAAGTCTGATGAGGCCACGAGGAAAATCCAGATCCCCCTAAATACAGTAATTCAAGGCCAATTCTATGCTAGTCCCCCAACCTGATATTCTTTAGCTTTTAATACTTTATTATGTTATTTAAAATAATGCATTTTACTTAAAAAATGTTTTTTTTTTAAATTGCACAGAAGAATTTGTTTACAAGATTTTCCATGGTATCCATAACTAGCTGCAAGTGTGCGCACGCATGCGCGCGCACACACACGCACACACACACTGGCGGGATCCAAGAGTCAATGCTCGATCCTGCAAGCACAAATAGGTGAGTACACACACACACACAATTATTCTTCTGAGGAGAGGCGGGACCAAAGAGCCAAAGCTCAAACCCCGCAAGCACAAATAGGTGAGCACACACACACAGTAGTTTCAAAGCGTTATATGACAAAGAGTGCTGGGAAGACGGGACACCACGAGTGTAGCTCTCATCCTGTACCTACACTTAGGTAATTACACTTACACTTACACTTACACTCTCACACACACACACTTACACACACACACACTTACACACACACACACTTACACACTTATACACACACACACACACACACACACACACACACACACACACACACACACACACACACACACACACACACACACACACACACACACCTACCTCATGTGGTTTTTCTTTTGTGTAAGCACACTTTGAGCTCTTTGTTACTCAAGCATTTTCAGACTTTTCTTTGCAAGTTTAAACCATTGTCATCAGGCAAGAGTGGTAAGGGTGCATTATGTAAAGGTAAGAGCAACTTACATACTAAGGATAATATAACGTTATGGAGAAATTACAACATAGTTAGGCAGGGCTGGGATAGTATGGCATTGGTACTGTTTATGATAACAAAACGAAGGCCGCAAATCATGGACTTTGTAGGTAAAAGGATGGTTAGTGAAGATAAGCCTAGTGACCAACAAACATTAAGAACATTTAAGAACTGTATGTGGATTTGGCTGAAGCCACTACCAGTGGTTTATACAGCATGTTTCCCTGGGAGTAGCTGTTAGTGAAACACAGGTACTTTGTGGATGAAAAAATGTCAAGAAACATATGCACTGAGAATGTCTAAGCCAGTGCAAGGTGGCTGCATAAGATTTACAAATGGCCTGACACAGGAGGAGGATCTGTTGAGAGAAACTTAGTGTTGGTGCATTGACTGTGAAGACATTTAAGATATAATTGCACATTGTGATCAACCAGGCAGATAACCCAACTTTCTCTCACATATTTCCTGCCTCCCTCCCTCACCCTCTTGCTTCCATCCTCCCTCCCTCACCTTCTTGGTTCCATCCTCCCTCCCTCACCCTCTTGCTTCCATCCTCCCTCCCTCACCCTCTTGCTTCCATCCTCCCTCCCTCCCTCACCCTTCCTCCCTCCCTCCCTCACCCTCTTGCTTCCATCCTCCCTCCCTCCCTCACCCTCTTGCTTCCATCCTCCCTCCCTCACCTTCTTGCTTCCATCCTCCCTCCCTCACCCTCTTGCTTCCATCCTCCCTCCCTCACCTTCTTGCTTCCATCCTCCCTCCCTCCCTCACCCTCTTGCTTCCATCCTCCCTCCCTCCCTCACCCTCTTGCTTCCATCCTCCCTCCCTCCCTCACCCTCTTGCTTCCATCCTCCCTCCCTCCCTCACCCTCTTGCTTCCATCCTCCCTCCCTCACCCTCTTGCTTCCATCCTCCCTCCCTCACCCTCTTGCTTCCATCCTCTCTCCCTCACCCTCTTGCTTCCATCCTCCCTCCCTCCCTCACCCTCTTGCTTCCATCCTCTCTCCCTCCATCACCCTCTTGCTTCCATCCTCCCTCCCTCCCTCACCCTCGTGCTTCCATCCTCTCTCCCTCCATCACCCTCTTGCTTCCATCCTACCTCCCTCACCCTCTTGCTTCCATCTTCCCTCCCTCACCCTCTTGCTTCCATCCTCCCTCCCTCCCTCACCCTCTTGCTTCCATCCTCCCTCCCTCCCTCACCCTCTTGCTTCCATCCTCCCTCCCTCCCTCACCCTCTTGCTTCCATCCTCCCTCCCTCCCTCACCCTCTTGCTTCCATCCTCCCTCCCTCCCTCACCCTCTTGCTTCCATCCTCCCTCCCTCCCTCACCCTCTTGCTTCCATCCTCTCTCCCTCCCCCTCTTGCTTCCATCCTCTCTCCCTCACCCTCTTGCTTCCATCCTCCCTCCCTCACCCTCTTGCTTCCATCCTCCCTCACCCTCTTGCTTCCATCATATTGCATTATGTTCATAATGCAATAATGCAAGCTAAGAGCTGTTACCCTACATCAACTCATTTGAAGCCCCATATTAGAAACTCAACTATTGAATTAGTATTTGTTGTTTTCATTAGGCATGAACTTCATTCACTGTTTAGTTACAACCATACTGTGTATGGTATATGGTGAAGCTCAAGCCAATACCTTCACATGGCCAAGTCATGATTTCATGAGCATCTACTTGTTAAAAGAACACATTCAGAATGTGAGTCAACCAAGGAATGAATGCTTGTTGATGAAGTGATGTTCTTGAAAATAGCAACTAGCATGTGAATGCTGTTGGCAGAGTTCTTTGTATTAAACAGTAGTTACCTGGAGAGGGTTCTGGGAGTTCTTCTACTCCCCTAGTTGCCGTCTTATGGTTGCCTAAGAAGTTGGGCCAGGTATGAAGCCTTAAAAAAATGGCTTTACACACTAATATTTCTCCAATTACATCTTAGCACCTTTATTTACCTGAATTTACCCAAGAACCACCAACACTAGTGGTATCGATGGGGACAGGAAACTGGCAGCTTGTCAAAAAAAAAAAAAGTATCCCGAGTGAAAAGTTATCTCCTGTTTTCTGTCCCACATTTTGGCTCACTGAGCATGAAACTTGTATGAATTAGCAGGGATGCAATAATTCAAGGCCTCACCTTGCGGTTTCCTTGCGATGATTTCGGGGCACAGCGTTCCCGCGGCCCGTTCCTTGGCTAGGCAGACTGGTTGCTGGACTGGTCAACCAGGCTGTTGGACACAGCTGTTCACAGCCAAACAAATGAATCACAGTCTGGTTGATCAGGTATCCTTTGGAGGTGCTTATCCAGTTCTCTCTCGAACACTGTGAGGGGTCAGGCAGTTATGCCCCTTATGTGTAGTGGAAGCGTGTTGAACAGTCTCGGACCTCTGATGTTGATAGAGTTCTCTCTCAGAGTACCTGTTGCACCTCTGCTCTTCAACGGGGGTATCTGCACATCCTGCCATGCTTCCTGGTCTCGTGTGGTGTTATTTCTGTGTGCAAGTTTGGGACCAGCCCCTCTAATATTTTCCACGTGTAAATTATTACGCATCTCTCCCGCCTGCACTCAATAGTTGGTCCCAATAGTTTAGATGTTTTACCGAGTGGATTTTAGCAGTAAAAGATCTCTGCATCAATAACGCTCTCCTGGTTGATACCTGGTTGATGGGGTTCTAGGAGTTCTTCTACTCCCCAAGCCCGGCCCGAGGCCAGGCTTGACTTGCAGGTCAGCAATTTCTCCAGCTTTGAAAGGGGCTGACATTGTGCAACAGCATACCACTTTAGAGAGCACTAGCATCTTGAAGAGTATCAAAATTGGTATAGCATCTCTAGTTTGAACAATTCTTGTTATCCAACCTGTCATTTTGATCGCAATTGTGGCAGCTACTTTATTGTGTTCTTTAACCCTTAAACTGCACATGGTATACATATACGACAGGACCTGATGGTACCGTAAGTTCAATTTCTCAAACTTGCTCGAGAAAATCCATTTTTTTGTGCATAACCTACTAGCAAATTCTGCAACTTTGTCTAAATGATCACAAACGAAATTTGAAAAATAAGAACATGAAAAATAATTATAAAATTGAATATTGAAAACTTCAGATTTTCAAGTCGGCTGCAAAAATATAAAATATCACCAACTGTTCATTTGGTGTTGTTATGCTCTCAGAATAGCATATGATCTTCATTTTCATAGATTTAGAATATAGGTTTTCAGCATTTTGCTTGTCTTCCATGGTATCTAAGGCCATGTCATAGTAGTAGTGGAGATGCCCTACTGCCATTTCTTCCAGCAATCTTTTGTAATGTACTGTGGATCACTATACAATACTATACCTCAAGAAGCAGTAGAATGCATATGCTAAAAAAATATAGTTTTAAAAATAATTTTGCTATGGGCTACATTGCTCAATTTTAATAGATACTGAATTGTTTGGCTCTAATTTATAAATATTAAATTTCAAGTCAAAATCACATGGCATTTGAGGTACTGAATTGAAACTTCTCAAAAACATAAGAAATCAACATGATAACCCCATGAGATATCATACTGAATATATCTAATTATGAACATGCCACATGCTTCCTACTTTAACACATCACAAAGGTTCAGAAAATGCCCAACTTCATAGTTCACAGAATTGGCTCAAACACTGAGCAGTTTATGATCCTATATACCTGATCTTAATACTAAATGTCAGTACAGTATAGTACAAGATAATAATCCAAATAATGAAAACTAAAAAGAAGAGACTAGTTGCACTACTATGATTAAAAAAGCAAAACTTCTGGGCTTCCAGCACTCACCTGACACCAAGTGCACTAGGCTGACTAGATTGCTGTTTTGTTTCTTCAACACCATCCCGATGTCTTAGGTCAAATCTAGCATTCTCGGAGGACTCGGAGGCAGGATTATCTCCATGACAATCTTCTTGAGTATACTCTGACTGACTGTTGTCTGGGCGGGTGTGATCATATCTGTAAGAGATCCTAAGATTGATAACCATAAATATACCCAAAAGGCTGCTCATGAACAGCAGAATGCCTTTCCCAAACACAAGTGAATGTTTCACCAATAATTAATATACAGTAATCAATTTCAACAAATTTTAAAAGTAAATAACAGTAACAAAATTTTTGTAACAAAATTATAACAATGATACAGTAGTAAATTAGGAATTAAAATATGGATTAAATTTCTCCTGTAAACTATTAAGGTAAAGCAGCCAACTTACTACGTATTAACATCGATTTACCAAAGTATGGAAAAAGGTACAGTACACTCCTACAGAAATCCATACATCACTCTTGGAAACTGAAAGACATTCATTCTCCAGAAGTTGTCAACAAAAATCTAATCTACAGCTTTAATGATGATATTGAACTGTATAAATATTCTTCAGTAATAGAATTTGTCCTCACAAACAACAAAATGGCACACACTTTTCAGCAAATAATTGACGTAGCATGTAATTCTTTAATTGGCAATACTGTACCAAAAATATAAAGTGGAATTGGGATATGCTAAAGCAGTGTAACTCCAAGGTAGTCGTTCACCATGCACCAGGCTTCCCTTTTCTATCTTACTTGTCATTAAGCCTAGAAAACACCAGAGTAAGATCATTTTATAACAACAAAAATTTTACCTGCAGGTTCGGCCATAAAAGCAGGTTCCTCTCAAGTAATATCGACACACCATTGAAGGTCGAGCTTCATCCCGATTATGAGAAAAACGACACCGCTCTCCCTCACGACAAGCACCATTTATAAAATATCTGAAAAATATAAAATATTAATCAGCTGTCTAAAGTGTAATGAAGTAGGTTACACACAAATTTTCAACAAAAGCCAAGTAAGACCTTTGATAACTTTTCAGTTCTTCACTTAGCTTAAGGGAAAGTTATCAATAAAATCTTTCCATTATTACAAAAGTGTGATACTGGTGCTAAGCGGCAGACAAACACAAAGTGTTCAAGCTGCGTTAGAGCATCTAATTATCATCAGAAGCAATATATATAAGTAACAAAAGGAGCCTTCAGTCTGAAAGATATTCTAGTGTGGTCGGAGAAAAAAGCCCAGGTTCATAGACCAAATGTGCAAATCACGAATAGCAGCAACCCTCTGTGAAGCATGAGCATGGTGCCAACCAGCAGAGGATGAAGCAGCCACAGGAATGAGACCAAAATCCATGAGCACAAAGATGGTTTGAAAAATGCCATTAACATGTGGCAGCAGAGGAGTTGGCTGTTGGCTGTTGACCAACAACAGCCTCAAGAAAGATGGAAAACAAAGGGGAGGAAACAAGAGGGGCCAGGGCCCAATCTAATGACTGTGTTAAGACAGCCTGTCAACATGTGAGGCGGACAGCATAGAACATAGCCACTAGCTCCCAGAGCACAGGCAAAGCTGCTGACGCTACCACAACAGATACCAAACCTCCTACACCAAGCCCAGAGCCAAGCACCTCAATGTCATTGTGAAGCCACTCAGAGTGGACCTCCACAATGGCCAGAAACCAGACTACCAAAGCTGGGCGCGAGTGAATCCGAAATTCTTCTCCCATGAGGGATGCAGGCAGCAAATGCACTTGGGTGTGAAGCTGCACCAAGCTCACATCACTGGAAAGAGTGGGAGCACACAGGCAGTAATTGAGCAGGAAGGACCTCAAAGGGAGCAAACTCCCACCTCCATGAAATTGCCCACCCATATGTTTCTTTCCTAATGTGATATTGTATAACAAAGTGGCAATCCGTAACAAAGAATTTCTTTCCTAACATTTTCCTTTAATACTAATTTAAATAATATTTTGCCAAGAACATGTCTGATATCAGCAGCAACCAACACAAGAGGTGTTAAGAGGAAGCAAATTCCTCTACCAATTATGGATAAACATAGTCATTGAACATTGTGAGAATGGTCGTGCTGCTGACCATTCCATTATATATATATATATATATATATATATATATATATATATATATATATATATATATATATATATTATATATATATATATATATATATATATATATATATATATATATATATATATAATATATAATAAATAAATAAATAAATAAATAAATAAATAAATAAATAAATAAATATAGGTGCAAGATGTTAACATATCTTGGACAGCTGTAGTTGGGTCAGTTACAATCTCACTCTGTACATTGCACTGTTATATAATGAATATATTTTTAGAAATATTAAATGTGTTTAATTCAACCATAATAATTTGTTTTGTCGGAAACAAGAAGCCTCTGCCTCCCCCCCCCCCCCTCCCACCACTCTCACATACCCACCTAGTTGTGCTTGCGGGGGTTGAGCTTTGGCTCTTTGGTCCAGCCTCTCAATTGTCAGTCAACTGGTGTACAGGTTCCTGAGCCTACTGGGCTCTATCATATCTACATTTGAAACTGTGTATGGAGTCAGCCTCCACCACATCACTGCCTAATGCATTCATCTGTTAACTATTCTGACACTGAAAATGTGCTTTCTAATGACCCTGTGGCTCATGTGGGTACTCTACAAAATATACACAAAATTTTGTGTACAGTTGTAAATGTGTACACTCACCTAGATGTGCTTGCAGGGTTGAGCTAGGCTCCTAACCCCACCTTACAAACATTCTTAGATTAATGCAATAAATCAATTAGGTATAGGTTAGGCATGAATACGTTATGCTAAACTGTTACACTAAATTAAGTTTGATTTAGTGGCATCTTGGCTGACTCGCCACCATTTTTTCTTCTACTGAGATCAAGCTGTTCAAAATCTACATACCAAAGAAGTTACAAGCATTCAGTCCTCGGACCTCGGCAGCCTTATAAATCCCCCATTCATAAATAACTGTCCTAATGAGGTAATTATAAATAAAAGTCGTCCCTACTCGTGTCTTATAATAAGCACATGCTAGTTCAGCACCACACTTGCACACTCCCAAGCTAAGTGACCAACATTCTAAGTGATAAATGAGTAAACACTTTTCCTGACAAGTTAAATATTTTCGCTTTTAAATTGACCGTTGTTCATTACCCCCTTTGTCAACAGGTAACCCATAGGCGCGTCGTCATCATTCCTGCACACCCACAACCATCTCTGCGCTCCCTCATCATGCCATCAATGAATTCCTCCAATCCCTCCCCGGGTATAAAGAGTGAAGGAATACTTACCGACACAATACATTCTGTGCTCCTCCTTCTGCCATTTTCACATCCTTGATGACAACAAGTTCCAATATTATCATTGTCGTGCTCTCCTATCGAAACATTATTATTGATTAATCAATATTAATAAAATATGCCATAACATTGATCAATTTAATTTATGCCTAGGTATATTTTTAATAAAAGATCACTATTTAATATTGGTAAATAAAATTATATAAACAACACTAAAGACTGTGAGTTAGGAGGCAGAGTTGAGACCCGGCGCGCTATTCAAAGTTAAATTTGTCGACCTTGGTCAATATTATATATATATATTTTTTTTTTATATATATACTCAATTAAATTCATTTAATAACCTATTCATTTAACAATGCTTTATTTATTATTTTATTTTATTAGTCATACGAATCTTCGATATTTAGAAGTTCAATGACACTGGATTTCATACAAAATCAAGCGGAACTGCACGGAAGCAATACTAATTCCGTCTATGAAAATCATTAAGTGTTGCAATACTCAGTCTGATAATTTGCTTTTCATTCTTTCATTCGCATTAACACACATATATATATATATATATATATATATATATATATATATATATATATATATATATATATATATATATATATATATATATATATATATATATATATATATATATATATATATATATATATATATATATATATATATATATATATATATATATATATATATATATATATATATGTCGTACTTAGTAGCCAGAACTCACTTCTCAGCCTACTATGCAAGGCCAAATTTGCCTAGTATGCCAAGTTTTCATGAATTAATTGTTTTTCGACTACCTAACCTACCTAACCTAACCTAACCTAACTTTTCGGCTACCTAACCTATAAAGATAGGTTAGGTTAGGTTAGGTAGGGTTGGTTAGGTTCGGTCATATATCTACGTTAATTTTAACTCCAATACAAAAAATTGACCTCATACATAATGAAATGGGTAGCTTTATCATTTCATAAGAAAAAAATTAGAGAAAATATATTAATTCAGGAAAACTTGGCTTATTAGGCAAATTTGGTCTTGCATATTAGGCTGAGAAGTGCGTTCTGGCTACTAGGTACGACATATATATATATATATATATATATATATATATATATATATATATATATATATATATATATATAAAATGCACAACTTGCCTAAACACGCAAGAGAGATTATACAACCTTAGAACACTTTCCCACCAGCAGATTCGAACCCTAGCCAGCACAGAAGCCTTACAGCAACTGGCATAACTGGTACGCCTTTAACCCACTGCACCACAGCTCAGACCCTTAAAAGAGATGGTCTGAGCTGTGGTTGTAGTGGATATGCGGGCCTGCTGCCTACTCTAAGCATGTAACAGTCTGTTGAATCAAGTTATCACAAGTCGAACCTGGCCGGCCCCCATGGCCAGGCTTGGGGAGTAGAAGAACTCCCAGAACCCATTTCAGGTACACTCCAATTCAGTTAGACTAGCTATGAATGGCTAGTTTGCCACCTAGTGTAGGTGGGCAACCCGTTCTCGCACTTTCTTACAGTCAATATTGACTTATTAAATAAGTGCATATGTGACATACTAATTTATTGTGAATATTTTAGTTTACCTTGAAAAGCTTCATAGAAAACACCGACCTTACCTAACCTTCTTAGTATGTTAAGATAAGCATCTTATTGCTTCGTAATTACAATTATTACTTAACCTATACCTATAATAGGTTAAGTAATAATTGTAATTACGAAACAATAAGATGCTTATCTTATTATAGGTATCTTACCTATACCTATAATAGGTTAAGTAATAATTGTAATTATGAAGCAATAAGATGCTTATCTTAACATACTAAGAAGGTTAGGTAAGGTCGGTGTTTTCTATGAAGCTTTTCAAGGTAAACTAAAATATTCACAATAAATTTGTATGTCACATATGCACGTATTTAATAAGTCAATATTGACTATACGAAAGTGCGAGAACGGGTTGAGGAGGGCGGCAGCTGGTCCGTCAGCAAACTCTCGCCCGTCTCCATAGTACAACACAGTTGTCATTCGTGTAGGTTATAAGCTTTTTGGCTGTGAATTCCATCTATGTGCGTAGGTAATTATAACCCTTATTCCTACTCTTCTAATGCACCAATTTCACGACAAAACAACACGAATCATGTACCAAACAAAAACACAAGACCATAATGCTGTTTATTTTGAATTCCATACAACTCATACAGTGAGAAAAAATAGAGACCTATACAAAGGCCTGAATATGTTAATATATATATGTTATGTCCTGCATGTAATTGTTATTGTTAATTGACTATCCTTCTAGTCATATTTCTTTTGAATCATTCATTAAATTGTGCATTATATCTCAGTTTTTTTTCACTTCTTTGCATATACTGTACAGTACAAAAAGATAGGATAAAAATAAACCAGTAATATTTCTTTCATTATATTTTTTATTTAAATAACTGCATCACTATTTTTACAGCTGACAGGATTTGTTTTACTCTCAGGTGCATTATTTGTTAAAAAAAATTGGTTTAGTGTTACACACAATGGTGCTACATAGCCTTCCCAGTTTGGTGCTTTCTTTTGATAATTACCTACTGATTGTTACACACAGCTAAATTGTTTAATAGGAAGAGGTCTTGGACCCTTGCTTCCCCCTCTCTTTTTTAACAGGCCAAAATAATCCATACAATCATAATTATAGGCCTAAGTATATATGACAAATGTTGTTGAAGTTTTTACTCCTACCTAAGATTTGTGAAGCATATTTTGCTTTTATGTCTCACCCAAATTTAATTTCAAAATAAAACCAAACAAAATAAATTAAAAATGGGTATGTATAGCTAAAGTACGCCCCTAGCTATACTTATTGCTTGGTGAACAGGGGCATTTGGTGATAATAAATGCTCCCATCATCATCTTCTCTCATATTGAGAAGGATCATCACCTTCTCTCATATTTCATGTTCATCAGTGTTTATTTACTTAATAACTACTGGTATAATATCTTGTTATTATAAAACTAATTCTAATATAATAAAATACATATTTACTACACGTTTCATGCAGAGAATGCATATATAGTTAACACGAAGGACTCTTCTGAACGAAACTCGCCAACTAAGTTGTTTGTTTATACTAAAATCGATCCTCCGTAGTTGTGTAGTAGAGAAAAATTTAGTTACCTGTATATCTAGTTTACGTAAAGCTACGAGTGGTCGAGGGCGTCCTTAAATCGAGGCGATGTACTTAGGAAGATTTTCCTTCTTAAATGCGTACCTTAATACCGACGTTGCTGCTATGAAGGTGCCAAAAAGAAAAACATTCGTAAGTACGTACGTAACTGCTTCGTGAATCTGGCCCCCAGGTAATTATTTGATAATCGCGGGCAATAATAGGAGACGTATAACTTCATCTCATGCTAATATCAACAGCTCATAGTATTATTTTAACTACGTCCATATTTCGGTGTATCTAAATTAATATTGTATGAGATATACGAAACAAGGAGGAAGTTGGATTAATAAAAAAAAAAAAAAAGAGATATGCTTTAGAAAACTTTACTTCCTAGAAATCAAATGATAACAGTAGATCAACTAGCATGCAGGCGAGTGTATTAGGCTGCTGCTGCTGGCGACTGGTAGAGGAAGGTGATGATAGCCTTGGCCGGCATGTCAAAGTTCACATAGTCACCGTCCCTGCCCGTGTCCACCAACACGCTCTCCGGAGTCTCTCCCCTGCTCGCACACGCAGTCAGTGTCAGCAAGGAGGGCATTATATTTATATATAGCTGTGCGTAAGTATCCACTAGGAAAATGAAACACGAAAACTTTCTGCACTTTCGTTTCATTTTCCTAGTGAATACTTACCCATAACCGAATCACGTTTTTTGTGTGATTATTCTGCATATTCTGTACAAAAAACATCAAATTCAATAATACAAAAATAGAAAATAGCGTAGTTTAATATCACCCAGATTTAACTCACTCGTGCCAGCGACCTTTGGAAGATCATTAGTGCATTGCGTTTGTTATGAAAAACAATAGTCATTTATAAAGCTGTGGCAGGACATATGAAGAACAGTGTGAAGATTAAAATGGAGTGTCAGTAAATAGGTACTTAGGAGTTAGGCAACTGTGGTGATTGGTAACTTATTGAATGAATATTAGTCACGAATGGGGAGAGAAAAGGTTGGGCGCGTTTCTTATCACCTAATACCACCTGTTCACCTAGTAGTAAATAGGTACTTAGGAGTTAGTCAGTTTGTTGTGGGGTTGCATCCTGAGGGGGGGGGACTCGATATAAGCCTCACATGTAAATATGTATATATATATATATATATATATATATATATATATATATATATGTCGTACCTAGTAGCCAGAACGCACTTCTCAGCCTACTATGCAAGGCCCGATTTGCTTAATAAGCCAAGTTTTCATGAATTAATATTTTTTGAACTACCTAACCTACCTAACCTAACCTAACCTACCTTTTTCGGCTACCTAACCTAACCTAACCTATAAAGATAGGTTAGGTTAGGTTAGGTAGGGTTGGTTAGGTTCGGTCATATATCTACGTTAATTTTAACTCCAATAAAAAAAAATTGACCTCATACATAATGAAATGGGTAGCTTTATCATTTCATAAGAAAAAAAATTAGAGAAAATATATTAATTCAGGAAAACTTGGCTTATTAGGCAAATCGGGCCTTGCATAGTAGGCTGAGAAGTGCGTTCTGGCTACTAGGTACGACATATATATATATATATATATATATATATATATATATATATATACAGGGGGCTACCTGTCCCTCGACACAATGATTTATCAATTAATAATAAAAGTGTTGATATAAGGCTTAATATACATAGGCAATATGATAGGTAAACAAAATTTAATATAGAAAATGTTAGGGCAATAAATGGATAGCAGGGACTGATCACAGAAGAATCGTGTGTGGAGATAATAGAAATGATCACAAACGTATTAAACTAACTGTAAGGTCAGTACACGATACCAGCCCAT